CCGTCTTTTGGATTTAGGCCCTAGGATGAAGGCAATATCTTATCAGACAGCCTCCCCTTTTGAAAATACTTATAGGGAATATTGGGACATTCGCTCCCAATTTCTTGCAGGAAGTAGACAGGGATAATCTTGGCTCCTCCGTCACAATGTTAGGTCCCAGGAATGTGCTGAAAGAGTGGCAATCAAGAATAGACGGTGGAATCCTTGGTGCTCCCTGTGCTTTGTGGTTTGCCTGCCAGTTAGGTAACACCCTAGCCTTTATTCAGTTTTCTTCCCATTTAAAAAAGAAAACAAAGCTGAATGCAGAATTCTCTGCTTAGCTGGAGCTGCCTCCTACCTTAGTATGCAGGTCAACATGCTTTAATGGAGAGAGGGACAAGGCAGCACCTCTCGAGCCCTGTTATCTTTTTGTGTTTTCCAACTGGAGGATTTATTTCAGTAGTTTTCTTTGGTTTTTTTAATTGTGTTTCCAATAGAATGGTAGGAAACGGGCACTTTAATCCACTGGAATAGCGACGCAAAGGGTGTTAAGCGAATGGACTTCGTGATTGCATCTCAACAAAACAAATTCCCAGGCAAGATGCAACCTCCTAGCATCTCCCTGGGCAGCTAAATTGCTCTGGGCAGGGGTGGGCAGTTATTTTCCCAAGGGGCCACATGAGGAACTCGGTCTGTTGTGGAGGGCAGGCTCAGAAAAGCGCGCTCTCTCCTCATCTTCCCGCCGCTGACTGCAGAAGCACACAGCAACTGTGCAGAACGGAACTTGACACGCCCTTCCTTCTCTCGCCCTGAGGGCCTGCTTATTTATATATTTAATTTCTAATTTCCAACTGACCTCACACGGACAGGGATAGGCAAAGGGCCAGGTGGTGGCTCGGGGCCATAAAACGACCAGGTCTGGGTTACAGGGTAGCAAAAAAACCCATGTAACTCCATACTTTCTGCTGTTCTGGCCCGGTATTACCCTTTCTTCTGCAGCTATTGTGTAACATTCCACAAGGAACGCTGGGCAAGAAAATGAGACTTTTTCACTGGTTGTCCTGTTGCGGTCGGGTTGCGGGTTTGTTTGGCCTTTGCGCCCCGTTTTCCGTCTCTGATCTTTCTTTTCCGCCTCCAGATAAATTAGTGGGCAAAAGGAAACGTCACGAGGGCGAAGAAGTAGTAGAGATGGTTGAGAACACTGACAATCCCTTGAGATGTCCAGTTCGGCTCTATGAATTCTACTTGTCAAAGTGGTGAGCGATGCTACACTTTGGGGCTCATGTTTTTCTTTTTTTTCTCTTCTCAAAGGAGAGATCCCAACCTGCACCTCAAACCCTGATCCTTTTCTCTCTCCCCACCCAGTTCTGAAAGCGTGAAGCAGAGGAGCGACGTCTTTTACCTCCAGCCAGAACGTTCATGCGTCCCCAATAGCCCAATGTGGTATTCCACTATGCCAATAGATCCCGGGACTTTGGACATCATGTTAACGCGCATCCTCATGGTAAGGGAAGTGCACGAAGAACTTGCCAAAGTTAAACCGGAGGACTCGGATCCAGAGCTTTCGGACTAAACTTGGGCGAAGGGGAGGTTCTCTCTTTTTGTTTGTTTGTTTGTTTTGGGTTTTTGTTTCCTTCCCTTTCCATGGTATCTTGCAAAAAGCACCGAATTGCACCCGGCCTTCAGAAAAATCACTCATGTCTCACACACACACACACACAAACAGACACAGACAGACACACACACACACACACACACACCCCTCTGAAGGCACAGCGGAAGCTGCAAGAGGTTGCAAAACGAGACTCGAAGGATGGAAAGTGGCAGAAGACGCAGGGACACTGGGGAGCTTTCAGTGGCTGCAAACCCTCGTGAAAATGTTCAGCGAAGATGATGAACTGGAGGGACCCGTCTCTTTCCCTCTCCCTGCCTCCCAAGTGGTGCTTGTAGTGGAATAAAAAAAAACAATTATGGATGTGTTTTCTTAAAAGAGGAAAGCAGCAGTGTGCATCCTTCCCTCCTAACCATGGAAGCAAAGGAAGCTAGATTTAGACTCCCGGGGTGATTTTTGCAGTGTAGCCGCCACCCATCCTTCCATGGGGGTTGCTCAACACTTGCTGTAGGACGCCAAGCAGAACGTAGCGAGACGGAAGCCCACGGGGATGCCATCTGTAACATACACACCAGATCCCTTCCTTGCCCCTTCTCCCTTTTCTATAATTTTCAGGGGGTTCCTTTTAGGGGAAAAAAAACGTTGGGTTGTTCAAAAAGACTTGACTCAGCCAGAAGCTGAAGCAAAGAGGAGGGAGCTTGATGGGCTGCCACCTTTGGAAAAACCCTGGCAGCAGGAGCAAATCAAGGTTAGCCAGGCCACCTCAACCATGGTTTTATGAGGAAACAACTCATTTCTGAATGAACTTGCACACACACACACACACACACACTCAGCCGCCCCATGCAGACAAATAGGGTTTGGTCCTCCACCCAACCCTCCAAAACCACTTGAGTGCTTTTTTTAAGAGCAAGATATTCAAAAGTGGTTCCCGAGAAATTGTACCCCCCCCCCATCTCCCTGGGTTTTCTGTTTTTTTTTTTCTCTTTAACTGGCCTAAAAACTATTCACTCATTTATAAATTACTTTTACAAATCCAGGAGAGTTGGAATGTTGGAGGTCTTCCAGATATTTTGTTGTTTGCATTATCCCACTGGTTGATTTAAAACAAGGCATTGTTAATCCTCAGCATGATTCATGTACCATTGCTTTTCATTTAAAAAAAAAAAAAAGGCATAGAAATCAGATTCCAAATCTAAAACAGAATTCGGGTGGCTTGGCTTCGCCTCCCCCCGCCCCCCCACCCTGCCTTCCTCTGGGTAGGAAAAAAAAGCAGCCCTTTATCAAAACACAGGGTGCATAGGCTTAGCCAAGTCCATTTCACCACCTTCCTCAAGCCGAAGATTTTTTTTTTTTCCTCAGTCTCTAAAAGATCGCTTTGAAAATTGAAACTATTTTTTAAAAGAAGAAGAAAACCAGGAAAAAGTGTATCTTTTTATTAGCGGTTTTGTCCATTCACCAAATTTCTAAAGAGTTCTTTAAAAAACAGAAAAAGAAAAAAGAAAACACCCTGTTGGTCTCTCCAGCATTGAACAAAGCCTTTTGTGTATGTATGTGTGCGTGTATGCGTGTGTGTGTTTGGGGTATTCTTTTTAACAGTAACAAAGGTTAACAATAAAATCAGAAAGTAGTCTTCTCTTTTGCAGTTGTGTACTTGATCGTTCCGTCTCCTGCCTGTAACGAAACCACTGGTGTATTTTGGAAAATGCCGAAAACAGTACAAGCAAGTCAGTCTTTTCTAAGTTACCTCACGTCATATTTCTATAATCTTTTAACTTCCCTTCACTCCCCACGTCTGTCTTTTTTAAACAGGCACCCCACATTTTATATATTAAGGCAAATAATTACAAGCTCGAATGGAGGAAGAGATGTGGCAGAGCTGTGACTTTTCCAATAAATTTCCCAGTTTGCATTGCATGGAATTTTTTAGGTGTTTTTAAAATACACAAGTGTATATTGTATTACATTTCTATGCCGCCCATCTTGCGGCTCAAGACAACTCAGGGTGGCTTACAATATAATAAAAACAGAATATAAAACAAGTGAATCCTCCCGGCATGCCCACAGAGATGTTGAGACGAGAGAACAACCTTGTTCTATGCTGTTTAGTGTGGTGTGTGTGTGTAAAAAGCAAACACTTCACTGGTGTCATAATTGCACAGAAATATGCACAGAGGTCTCAGAAGTGTGACTTTCCAAGCAGCAGTCAAAGGTAGTCTTCAACTTAATGCCATTTATTTAGTGACCAAAGTTACAACTGCACAGGGAAAAGTTGACGTGAGTTTTTCACTCATCTGTTGCCACATCCCCAAGGTCACATGATCCTTGGCAACTAATTCATATGAAGATCACAGTGTGCCCAGGACGTTGTGACCCAATGAAGTCAATGGAGAAATTAGATTCACTTAATTTAACAACAGATTTGCTCACGACTGTGGAGGAGGAAGATGGTAAAGTGGGGCACTTTAACTGTCTCGCTTAGCGACAGAAATTTTGGGCTCCGTTGTGATCGAGAGCTACCTGCATTCCTCATCCTTCCCTTTAGGAAATGGTCTTGTTTGCTTTTAGAATCCAACAGTAGGGGAATTACTTGGGCCATCTCCTGTAGGACGTTCTACCCTTCCAAATATCCCAGAGGAATTCTTGTTTGGATTGGGGAAGATGGGTCTCTCTGAGAGTGCCGTATGAAGAAAGGCAGGAGGGCTCTGGACATCACACTCTTGGGGTGTGGGAAACGAACCCCACGCTTCCTGGAGAGCAAGGGTGCTCTTTTGCAAAGCAAGCCCCAAGACAAGTAGAAGCAGAGATGCTGGATTAGCCCCCATTAGTGAAGCAGTAAAATGTGGTTCTGTTTTTGCTGATCTCTCCATTATGTAAACTTTACCAACTGTTCAAATGGAGCTGAATTATTGGGAGCACAGGTGATCCTCAATTTACATCATTCATTTAGTTTACTGAAGTTACAAGGGGGGGGGGGGAACACTTTCAACCAGTCCTTGCCATTTTAATATTCCCAGTCACATGATGGCATCCTTCCTCAGAACGATTGTTAGCTATTTCCAGTCCAGATACAGAGTGCTAAATACAAGCTTTTTTTAAGAATTAAACCTAACAGACTATAGCATCTATTTCTAAGGAATAACAATGAACGTCAGATTTACTCCTTTCCCCCACAAAAAGGGTGAGATGGACTAGGAGAGTTTAGAAAAGAGTTTTATTTTGCCCGTGTCCAGCAGCAACAAGGGAGAACACCTGGCCAATGGATCCCATGAGACTGGGGAAAAGTTTTACTTTTTGCCTTGCACACCTGTGCTGCTTTGAGGTTCAGAAGAGAGGCTTGGGGTTTGCCTCTTCAGGGCCGGAGAAGAGAGGCGATTGCGAATTTGAGGAATGGAAACCCACCAAGGTGGACATGCCGTTACATTTAATATAAACTGAGGCACAAAAAAATTATATAAGGAATTTTTAGAACAAGAAAAACAGTGGAACAAGTTCATAAGAAAGCAGGCTAAACTATACTCATTCGAGGACTCTATGAAGATCTAACCGTTTCCTCTTCAAGCAGTCAGCTAATACTATGGAGAAGAGGAGGGGGGATGTTTTCTGGCCCCTCAACCCCAAATGTTCTTTAAGGCTCCCAGCGCTGCTCCTGTGGCGGTTGTTGCTGCTGTCACAGCAGTCGGCATCCCTGCAGCCCCTAGACAGGAGGTATAAGACAAAAAGATAAGCTTCCAGCCCTCATTGACCAAACCAATCCTTGTATCAGGGTCAGGGCAGGAAACGTACCAATGGACTGCAGGGTGGCAACCAAACCCCCAGCAGCCACTCCACCTCCGTTTGCAATGGCAGCAGCAGACATCATCTTGGCGCCAATCGAGCCAACCACAATTCCTGCGCTACTGAAACCCAGAATGCCAACTGCGGCCGGAACAGCCACCGCTGCCGTCCCTGTAGAGCAAGAAAGCAAATAGAGCTGACCTGTGGTCCTTGTGTGCCAGGAAGAGTTCCCAACTTTGAGAGGCCAAGAAAGATTCTGGAAATGGCTCTTTGTGACCTTCCTGTTCTCTTCCAGAGCAGGGATGACCAGACTGTCTTCTGATAAACTAAGGACCCCCAACCGTGGCAACTTTAAGACTTGTGGACTTAACAACTCCCAGAACTCCTCAGCCAGTGCATGTTGGCTGAGGAATTCTGGAAGTTGTAATCCACAAGTTGTAAAGTTGCCAAGGTTGGAGACCCTTTCCCTAGATCAACTTTGGAATGATGGAGAAGAAAGAGGGCATATCTTGAGGACTTCTGGACCATGTCAGTCCCAGCACATGTTCTGTTCCACAGGTTTGCAGTGGATGGTACATGATGCACCATCAAGATGATCCACATGTGACTTACAATTCCCACCATTGGCTGCAGAATGATTAATTCCAGTGGTGGTTTCTGACTGAGTTTTTGGAGGACACGAAGCATGGGAATTGGAGTAGTTTAGCCACACCCAGGATGGCAAAGAGCCATGCCCTCCCAGCAATGCCAACATGGGACTTTTGGTGTTCCTCCAAAAGATAGCACGAAGTTGAATTGTGGTCCCTAGTCCCGCAGTGAGTCCCTCTCCTTGAGAATAACTCAGGTTTCCTCCAGGTACAGGTAGTCCTTGTCTTACAACCGCAATTGGGACTAGAAATCCAGACATAAAACAAGGCACCTAAGTGATCAGAGCCCAGGGGAACTTTGCATTTTTTTTTATGGCCATTAAGCAAATGGGGTGGTCATTAAACAAACCCATTCTTCTGAAACTGACAAAAAACATTGCAAATCAGTCATGTGACTGGTTATAAAGGCAGGCCTATTGCCAAATGCCCAAAATGTGGAAAAAAATTCCTGACAGAACAATTAACCAGTAGAATGGCTTGCCTCCAGACATTGTGGGTGCTCTGTCACTGGAGGTTTTTAAGAAGAGAGTGGACAGCCGTTTGTCTGGAATGGTACTATAGGGTCTCCTGCTTGAAGCAAGGGGGTTGGACTAGAAGGCCTCTAAGGTCCCTTCCAACTCTGTTCTTCTATTCTTCTGACCATGCTGGGGGAGTAGAAGCAACATTTTACCACAGCTGGAAATGTTTTATAGGCTGTGAAACATCCATTCCAAGACTGTCATAACTCTAAGCAGTTGTAAGTCAAAGACTAACTGTATACAATAAATACTATAATCCCAGGATTTACCAGCGGCAAGGTGAACTCGTTTCCTGTTGCTGGTCTCAGGAACTGTTACTTTTGAACAGGAAGCCCAGAATTCCCACCCAACGTTCAAGGCTTTTGGGGGATAGAGTCCAAACTACTGGAGAACATCAGCTGATCTACTTCTCCCTTCCACTGTTCAGCCCCCACCACTTACATAGAAGATACTACAAGACAAGGACCAAGAGAGAAATCTTAAACCCTCCAGTTCCCACAAGGAACTGCATTTACATACTGGGGGAGGAAGAAACTAGCAACTTACCCAGGCCAACTGCAGCACCAAGTAGAGAATCTGGGGATAAAGAGACTCTGGTTAACAAAATAAAGATTATAGTGCACAAGAATTGAAAAACCAAACAAAAGTAGTGCAGCAGCAATATAAAGACAAAATTGGACAACCACTTGCTGAATTGTAGCTTCTTGACTATGTTCATTCAACCACATTTTCCAAACTCCACCATAAATGGGCCCAGAACACTGGTTATGGATACTTGGGTGATAGCACCATCCTGTGACCCTCAAGAGCCTGCAGGAAAGCTGCCAACCCATATTTTCCAAAGTGCATTGTGATCCTTAGAGAGGTCATAAACGGTGGCCCACTCATCAAATCTGGTGCACAAAGCGGGCAAAGCTAAAGGAAAAGCTGTGAGGCACAAAGAATCAGGAACATAGTTAAGTTCTACCCCAAAGGTGCTTTTTCTGAATTTTTTTCTGTGAAGAGGTTTCACTTCTCATCTTAGAAGCTTCTTCAGCTGTGAAGTTCTAGGCAAGCAAATTTACTGCTCGTGCCTGCACACTAGAATCTTCTCAACTAAAGATCAGCACTAAATTGGTGCTAGGTAAGAGTTAATGGACTTGTATCCATTGTGAGAACTTAATGATTCCAGGTTGAGTTCTATCTTCACACCATCACCCCAAGCACCGCCTCTCCTTCTCCTACAAAAGCAACACAAAAAGCCTGTATGAAAACCAAAATTATTGCTCTTCTTTCCACTGATACTGTGTTATTTTAACATCATTTTGTTACTTCATATCAGTGTTTCTCATCCTTAGCCATTTTAAGATGTGTGGATTCCAGCTCCCAGAATTCCCCAGCCAGCATCCTTTATTTATATCACCTATAGAATAAAATGTGACTAAGAGATAACTTTTATTGTCATACTTTTTTTTTACAATTTTATTGGTTTTTTAACAAACAAACAAAACAGACAAAACATAAAAGCATCAGCTCTCTTCCATACTTATATACAAACAGTGTGTCGGTTGGTTCATCAGTTTTGTGCATTCATTTAGTAGTCTCAATTACAATTATGTTACATAATAACTCTTATTATCAATCCAAACTTATATATCCTCATATTATTTAAAAAAAATCATTTGACTATACTTTTATTCATTCATACTTTATGAGATAACTATAATTTAAGTAATTTATTCTATAACAAATCATATAATCATACCAATTCTATCCTAAAAAAACACTTTATAGATGTAGTGTCAAATAGCAAAAGAAAAAGAAAAAACAAAGATATTCCTTATTGCCTAACATTCTAAATATTCTATTTTTGTATTTCATCGTCCAACCATTGATAGAAAAGGTCCCAAATTTTATAAAATTGTTTATCTTCTTGCTCTCTAATTTCAAATGTCATACTTTTCTGTGAACATACTGGCACACATTTTAAAAAAATCAAATTCTGATGCCTGCTCTCAGAAGAAAACAAGCCTGAATGTTTTAACTCCACCCAAGCTAACAGCATTATTCAGGACAGAATGCTTTAACCAAGTTTCCACGGAATGATGACACAGCAGTTTCTCACCTACCGATTTTGTTATTAACTCTAGCTTCATGTAATCCATTTTAGGGAGCACATTAGCAAACAAATAGATGGCAGTGACATGCTATAGGGGTTGGCTCCTTAGCCCTCCACCTCTGCCTCATTTCCTCTTGATCACACGGCCTCCATCGCAGAAGACACTCGCCCCCGTTGCTTCTGCCACCCTAAACACCTAGCACTTTCAGAGATTACAGATGACCTCACACCCTTCCATGCAATCCACTGACACCTCTGTTGCTCTCACTTTAAAACTAACATAATCCGAAGCAACAGACTCACTCAGAACAGCTTTGTCAATGGTTCCTCTCTTGATAAAAATCCCCGAATCCGATGTAGACTGACGGTTGTGTAACAGTTTGGGAATACAATTCTGCTGTGTTGTCACAATCCCCAAAGAATCCCTCAAGCCGGAGGGCGCTTTCAACTCCAAACCCCCAACCTTCTTGAGAGTCGAAGTAGCTGCAGCCAAGCAAGTCGCTGCCATTTTAGAACGCATATTGTGGTGAATGTAGCCTGGATGGATTCCTAGAAGGGAAGGACTGCTTTCCAGAGAGCACAGATGGGGTGGAGCTTGAAGAGCTTGGTTGGCAGGAAAGGGGTTAAAACGTCTCCTCCTTAATTATTCCCAGAATACATCTGCAATGATGCAAGCAGATGTTTTTAGTCTGGCAAGGTTCTTTTCTAGAGATATATGAAACAAGGAACAATACCGTATCTTCAAAAGAATAAAATGCACAAAGGAGGAAGGAAGTGTTCTCTTCGCTGATGATGAAAAGCTATTCAACACCACAGACAATACTGCTATCTTTCAAAAAGACCTCGACTATGTATCAGAATGGCAACTTCAAATCTCAACAAATAAATGCTCTGTCTTACATATTGGCAAAAAAATAATAATCAGAAAACAAAATACGAGCTGAATAATCAAGATCTTGTTGATGATCCAAACCCTGTCAAGGACCTTGGAGTACTCATCTCTACTGACCTAAGTGCTAGAGCCCACTGTAACTACATAGCCAAAAAGGCAATAAGAGTTGTTAACCTAATCCTAAGGTAGCTTTTTCTCTGGTAATATCACACTACTAACTACAGCATACAAAACATTTGCTAGACCAATACTTGAATACAACTCATTAGTCTGGAACCCACATTATGTATCTGATATTAACACCTTTGAGAAAGTCCAGAAATATTTCACAAGAAGAATTCTCCACTCCTCTACGCATTGCAGAAGACCTTATGCCACCAGACTTGAAATTCTAGACCTAGACAACCTAGAACTACGCCACCTTCGGTCCGATCTAAGTATAGTACAGTATATAAAATCATACACTGCAATGTCCTGTCAATGAATACTTCGGCTTCAACCATAACAACACAAGAGCAAACAATAGATACAAACTCAAGGTTAATCGCACCAAACTTGATTGCAGGAAATACGACTTCAGCAACAGAGTGGTCAATGTCTGGAATACTCTACTTGACTCTGTGGTTCCTTCCCCAAACCTCAAAAACCTTAACCTTAGACTGTCTACTACTGACCTCACCCCTTTCCTAAGAGGTCTGTAGGGGGCGTCCATAAACGCACCAACATGCCTACCGTCCCTGTCCTCTTGTTTCTTTTATATTTTTTTTTTATTTTTCTAACATGTATCCATGTATTCATAACTATGTTTTTACTTATACCTATTATCTTGTAAGCAATTGACAAACCAAATAAATAAA